AAACAGTTGAACAAAGCCCCTCATTCCCGCAGCTATAATTAGTATAAGGGAGATTTTTCAAACTGTGCACATAATCCTGATATGAGTGATTCAGTAAATTATGTTTCTGACCTGAGCTGACATACCCATTAGGCAGGTCTAGGCAAGCTGTTGCAAGTGTCACAAAGTACAATTAATTAGGGAACTGAAAACAAATTTTTAAAGACACTGATGACAAAGACTGTGATTCATAAGAATGAGAGAAATCACTGCAAGTCATATCCTCAAAGCCCACATATTACAGGATAGAAATAAATGGATGGATGGATGAGTCTCTACAAAAATTTTCCACCTGCTGATGCTAACTAGCTCAACTAACCATCATCATCATCATCCATCTCCCCGTTGAGCTCTGACGTTTTCATGAGCCGAGCTTCCATCACCTCCATCTCCTGTGATTCTAATTGTTTCTTCATGGTGTCAAAGTTTGCCTGAAAGGCACAGATTCACATATCAATCAAAAAGAGAGCTTGTCAGTCACATTAAAATTGGAATTTATGAAATAGGATGGTGTTACAAATGTGGTTTTTATTTGATATATTAGTAAATATATGTGCCTGTAAATCCTTCATGTCCTTCTCCAGGCGGAGTCTCTCTGAAGTCTCAGTCTCCAGCAACTGGGAAGCTGACTCACTTGTGCTTCTCTCATCAGCTAGCTCTGCCAACAAATCTGCGATCTGGACGCAAACAAACATGCACACAGACACACAGGGTGTAATGCAAAACTACAAAGTACTCGCCACAGTCCTTGTACAACTTAGTCATCAGATCTTTAAGTGAAATGAAAGAGTTTCATTCTGGCACCAATCTCAACCCTCATCCTCCCAGCAGGCACTGCCACAGGCGAAGGGACCCACCCTGCTCTCCAATCGATCTGTGTTCAGTCTCAGCTCATTTCGCTCCTTTTCCAACCTCTCAAGCTTCGATTTCTGCAGCTGTATCTCCTCCTATAGCAAAGTGGTTAGTTATATAGGTAATATTTAATGTTATAAATTCAACTGTAATATATGAAGTATTATGAGAAATATCAAAATTTAATGATCAAGTGTCATTCTACAGTGGCAGGATGAATGTGGAGTAGAGGCCAACTAGCTGAGAGGAATTTATAAAATGGGGTATATCAGACAGAAAGGTCTGCTCACGTCTTTGCTTTGCATCTGCTCCTCAGAAAGCTGCACTTTAATGAGGGGCTGGACTGTGGTGAAGAGCTTCCACCACGGCCAGTCCTTCACACCACGGTTCTTCTTGATGTTTTTCTGGATGCAACGGATCGCTAGATCCTGAATCTGAATACATACATACATACATACATACACATACAGTATATCAATATGAGTGCTTGTTGTAGGGTACACACAAAGAAATACTGACTTGATGGTAGTGCAACATTAATGCAACTGCTTGTAGCTATAACTTGGTCTTCTAATAGACACAAATGTTTCATAATCAAGACAACAGTGATCATTTTACTGTAACTATATGAAACCAGGTTTGAATGCAGAGAGTAGCCTGCAGTCCTTGGAACAATCCCAGGAAATTAGGAAACTCTTTAATTACTCAATGGAATAATTGCTTTACATAACTCATCATCTGCACCACTGATGAACACAATTTGAAAAACACTGCATTCCTAATTCTTGAGCTATACTGCTTGTTTATGGGCTAGCAGCTATCCCAGGGCTTGCAGTCCTCCTCTGGAGAATTTTATGCAGAGTGCGTTCCAAGGCTGGAAGCTAATTTTTGATTAATTAAATCAAACATGTTGGCACCTAATTCCAAGTATTACATGATTTCCATGCTGCTTATGCATGAGACTCTCCAGCAGCAGCAGATTATGGGCAAACCCAATTAGAGCAACACAATTCTCAGCATCAGGTACATTACACCCTGAAGGTACTCTCTTTGACCAATTAGGATTTGTCACACAGTGAAAAAGCCTTAACACAGAGCGAAACACAACAAATCTCTGAGTGAAGATTTAAACAGGTCTCACTTGTCATATTTAGTGTAAATTGAATAGAAAATAAACCAAAAATTATACTACATGGACACCATGCATAAACATTTTAGTATTCATACCGCATTAAGAGGGTGTGACAAACTGTAAGACAGTGTGATGCAAATTAGCCAAGATTAAGACACAAACTTGCGACTGTCTTCCTCAGTTTTTTACATTTACAGATGTGATTGTAGTTTATGTGTGTGTGTGTGTCATATATGAATGCAGGAACATTTGCATACTTAATATCTGGGCAGAGCAATATATGATCATTTTGATCCCACTTCTAGAGCAGATATTTTTATATCTTTATATCTTTATATTTTTCGGTTGTGAATTTCTAATGCCTTGCTGAAGTGCAGTAGCTCAGATTACATCTCTTGTATGGCCTAATTGGCAACCTACTAGATTGTCATGCCTAGCTAATATCATTTTCATGATACTACTGAATGACATTTTGATCCTGAAACTCAAATATATTTTAGAGGTTTAATTCTAGCTGTTAGACTGAGTATGGCCTTAAAATGTAATGGGTACATACCATAGTGAAATGTACCTCATACTACTGCAGAGCCTAGCTGCACCTTTACAGTGGAAAGTAATCAATATGTGACTGTTTCAAATGAATGTGATATCCAGCAGAATCCCTTGTCTGCTAAACGTACATCTTAACATTCAGTGAGCACTGTAGCAGTGAAGAGAATATGTGAAATGAATAGGTATAGGTAAAGGTAAAGCTAGCTTATGTTTGCTATCGTACCATGATTTCAATGCAAATAACACACACATTTGTAGGGTACCTGAAGGACAAACCTCCCAGTAGAGTAAGTGCCTGCTGAGGCAAAATAACAGACTTCTAAAATGTCAGCGTCCCCTTGAGGAGACAGCTGAAAGGGGGGGTGAAAAACAAGGGGGAAAAAAATGTGGTTTTGTCATTAAATGTCACATGGGCTCGGCACAGCTTCGCAAGGTTAACATGCCAGGGAATATCAATCAAAAGAACTTGTGGCTTTCTGTCACATCCACATACATCAACTAGCAAGTGTCAGAGAGGTTTCACCAGAAATCATCTGCACTGCTCCAGAGGCAAATTGCCATCTACTGTAGCTTCTAAGACTGGACACTTCAAACACTGCAAACACTGCAAGAGAGAATAAAAAAATATCCATTTTCACAAAGGCATAATAGGGTAACAACAACGGTGCAAGTGAACCTTATTCTACAATGATTATTCCAAGACTGAACAGAAAAACACTCTGTAAATCTTCTATGTGGACAGAAGGGCACATGGAAATCACTCAGTAATCCACTACAGCCCTGCTGCTGTTCCATTACTCTGGTCTTGACTAATTGAACCCGGAATTCAGTGACAGAAAATGCCCATAAAGGGAATCATTGGAGGGAGACTGTATATACCATACATGCAACAGCTGAAAAGTAATAAATCCAACCTAGAATGACTGCTTAGGCAAAAGGTGAAGAAAGGGGAAAGCAAGGAAAGGCCAAACATTTGGCACTGCTCCTCACTTCCATTTCTCTGCAGGGCACATTTTCAACCTCTTAGTCTGACACTTGACTGTAGATACTGACCTAATAATGTTAAGAGCTTTGATTTACATTTTTATTTATGGTTTTAAACATTAAGTAATTTTTTGAGTTGAACTCTGGCTTGACATGACTTATTGTAACATTCCATTATTGGAAAAAATGGTTTACCAATGTATCATTTACTTCAATTCAGTGAAAACCTGCACACAGAATCAGTGGACCATCTACTGTATGTTTAGCTGTATAAACTACACTGTGGGAACACCTAGGATATCTGATTTACAACTTCTAATGGGAATTTTCTTTGCTAAGACGGTTCATTTGACAAATGTAACCAAATTCTCCAAGAGTTTTTTATTAGCCAATTTGTATAGTCGGCTCTAAGATGTTACACAAAAAAGAATGACATTTTGCAAAAAGCACATGCAGAATTCACAGAGTTAGATAAGAAGATTGATACCACTTACAGCAATCTGCTACAGTACCCAAGAGGAGTACACCCCAGTGCAATATCACATAAATGTCAAAGCTAACAGTCACTGCATTACTTCTAAGCTGAACAGTTGGGTACTTGCTCTTATGTAAAAATAAAAAGTTTAGATTCACTATATTAAAAATACAAGCACCATAGTTGGAACGCAATGCAACAAATGCCAGTACACCCTTCACTACTGAGATTTAAATCTTTCACTTTTTCCCCCACTATTTCATATGTCCACTTTTATTTTTGATAACGGACTCAATCCTCCGTGGCACGTAGGTTACCAGTGTTGCACAACTGTCTGGACAGATGCTGTGCTATTCTTCAGAGACAATTTGTTTCAGTTGCTTCAGTGGAGGCGTTGTGTTGCTCTACCTTTCTCCTTAAAATACCCCAAATGTGTTCTACTGGATTCAAATTAGGCAACAAACTTGGCCAGGTCAGAGTTTTCACTTTTTTCTTCTTTAGAAACTCTTGCATGACTTTGGCAGGGAGCTTTGGATCATTATGATGCTAGAATATTCCACTTCTGCCAAGATCCTGAAGCCTGGGAGTCATCTGTCAGCCATTATTTTGGTATATCCACAGGCATCCACGGTGCCATCTATAAATGTCATCTCCCCCACACCTTTTGCACTCATGCAGTCCCATATCATCCTACTCCTGCCTCTGTGCTTCGGTGTTGGGACTATGCGTTTCATGGCAAACATGCTGGACTCCAAGCCAAAAAAATTTATCATGGTCTCATCTGACTGAAGAATGTGTTCCCAATATTCATCACACTTTTGGTGTTCTTTAGCAAAGTTTATTCTTTGCAGTTTTGTAGCAAAGAGTAAACAGGAGTTGTTTTTCTTGGACGCTGTCCATAGAAGTTGTTACACTGTCCTTTGCATTGTCTGAGCCGTCACAGAAACTGAGATCTCCATCGATAACCCCTTTGAAGCACTTGCCCTTTGTTTTTCAGACCTAGATTGTGCACGTTTCACACTGTCTGTAGCGTCATTGTAAGAGGACGGCCACTGCAGCTCTGATTAATGATACTATGGCTTGTTCTATACCTCCTGATTACTGCTGCAGCTGTGTTTTGACTGATTTTCAGTTGGTCATCAACCTTCCTGTATCCTTTTCCATTTTTGTGAAGTCTCACAATCAGATTTTTCAACTGTTTGAGGTTCTTTCCCATCTGGAGCCACGATGCATACTGTACATCTATATAGACACAGCCCACAGGTACAAAGTTGAAAGTTCTGGTGTTCACGGGTCAATTTCTAACAATGTTCATGCAAATGGAAACACAGGTGTACTCAGTTCTCTTTAACTGATCACAGGTTTTCCAACTTGTCAGGGATCACAGGGGTAGTTGCTTTTGTTGCATTAGGTTTCTACCTTGAGGCCTGCATTTCTAATATGGTCAATGATTTGTTTGTGATTGCTCATAAGAGGACAGACTGTCAACATATAAACAACACAGCTAATGAGGTGATATAATCTGGATATCACTTGACAGTTAAGCAACTCTGCACAGGGGCATAGGCTACTCACTTCTGTTGCATAGTGTATATCAGTACGGCCACAGTAAATAGCCAGTTAGCTTAGTTCAAAGACTGGAAACAAGGCAACAGCCAGGCTACCTGTCCAAAAACAACAATGTGCCTACCCCTCCACCACTTCAAAACTCACGTTAATACGATATACATTGTTTAATTTGTACAGAAACTGAACCATATCTGTTTCCAGTGTTAGCTCAACTAACTAGGTTCAGGTGGTAGCTTCATATTTTGAAATTAAACTAGCATGAATACACACCTAAAAAACAAATGCTGGTCATGACAAACTGAATAAAAAAATGAGAAAAATAATCTCACTCTGAAAGCTTACATGATTTATTTAAAAAAACAAAAAACAAAACAAAAAACAACCATAGCAGACATTTCCACCCACCTGTCTTCTTTGAGCAAATGAAACAAGTTACTAGAGACAAGCAAATGTTTGTGCTCACATCTCATAGCAGAGAACAATCTGTAATCAGTGACATCATCAGTAATGTCACACAGGTGTTTCTAAATTAACACCATTGTTAACCTTAGAGCAACCTCCACTGCACATTCAAATCACATATACAGACAATAAAAAATATAACTCCATCTTTTCAGATATGTAATCTAATAGATGTTTTGTAAGAATGTACACTAAAAGGTATATTTTAGGATTGATATGTTATATATATTTAGAATATTCTATGGTAAAGACTGATTCAAAAGTACTTTTCTCTATTTATACATTGGAAATTAATAGATGCTTTTACAGGCATGCTTTAAAAGGCATAGTCTTGATGATATGTCTTTGGAGAGGTTGTTTATTTTTTCTGTTTTTTGATATATTTGAATATGTTCTTGTACATAATTGACAATGTTCAATTTCTGGAGTTATATTTGTGATTGTCTCTATGTGCAATGGAGGTTTCTCTAAGGCAGCGGTTTTCAAAGTGTGAGGCACCAGAGGATTTCAGCGTCAGAAAAGAATCTAATTTTTTAAAGCTAATTTTATGGCTGAGTGGAACATACAGTAGGTCAGACCAACAGTAACAGTGGGGGCTGTTTTCACCATCTCCTCTCTCAGGCGAGGCTCACCTCCCCACACTTTGAAAACGCCTCCTCTAAGGTTAACCATAGTTAAAAATATTATAGTTTGAAACACCTGTGTGAATTTATTGAGGTCACTGGTTATAGATTGTTCTCAGGTGTGAGATGTGAGCACACAAATGTTTGTTTGCCATTAGTAACTTGTCTCACTTGCCTTGAAGAAGACCGGTGGGTCAGAACATCGGCTATATTTTTTAAATAAATCATACAAGCTTTCAGTGTGCGGCCCTTTTTCTCGTTTCTGGTAGCTTCATATTTACCATACAGACATGAAAGCGGTCAACTTTTTCATCTGTCAAACTATTCCTTTAAAGTAAAAACAACTGGATTTTTGATGTCTGAGCTATGTCCTGCATGTAAATTGAACTGAGTAGAAAAAAATAAAATAGAACTGAGCTGATTTTTGGGAAAAACCAGGTACGACCACAAAAACAATGTGCATTATGTTTCATTTAAATAAGCCCTTACACTAGATTGTCCTTTACCCATGACAAGCTCTTAGCCTGTGTGAATGACCTTTGAACTATGATTCAACTAACATCCTTCACTAAAATGCTAAAATCAGAGTAAGAAGAGAATGGAGCAAAAAAGTCCAGTAAGGTAAAGGTTCATATTGATTTACCTTATTATAAAATGAAAGTTTGATAGTTTTATTGACATTATATGTAAGTGAACAAGATATATAGTCACTAACATCATGTCATAGTGGATGGAGCGCAGTAATGTTGATTCTGTTTTGCTGCTTCATCACTAGCCAGCTCAAGCGGCACATTCATTTAAATAGTAATCACAGAGAGAGGAGGACTGTGGGGGTCCATACATCATAAGAGGACATGTATGAGGTCCAGAGAAATGGATCCATCATATGCTGGAAGAAAAAAACTGTTAGATGGGTGGAGCAGGAGGAGATGCGAGTCGGCCGAATGTTTAATAAGGGCTGCATTTGAGAGCAGCTCTTTGATAAAATGCAACAGAAATATGTCACTATCAAACATCTAATGGGAAAGATGACTGGATAAGATCACAGTACAGGAGAGAAAGGGTTAATGGCAATAGATTTAAAGAACATTTGTAATTAGTTGAAGATTTACAGCAGAGCTGGTTAGATCTGCCCCAAGAGCAAAGTAAACAGACACTAAAATTAGCTCTGAACAAGGCACTCTCGACTCCTGGTGGACTCCTAGGCAATGTGGCCTCTGGAGTTCACATTCTTCATCTGATTCTTTAAAAAAAGCAGCTACAGAGCAAGATGGACAATGAAACTCATTTTGTTAGCTTTTTGTAATTTTCAGATTTGTTTTTGAATTGTTGAACTTTTAAAAAAATTGTGACACATAAATATACCCTTAATCAATTTAGATAAATACTATCCTTGGGGATTCTACTATGAGTAACTTTAGACGACGCCATTCATCTCACAGGTGACATCTTGCTTACCTTTCTCTTCTTGAAGGCTTGCCGTGCTAGGTAGCCTCTACAGGCAGCTTGGAACAGGATTAGATTACGTTTGGTTTGTTCATCCCTCTGTTCCTCAAGTTTAGCCAAGGTGCCAGCTCTGAAGAACAACTACAGCAAAAAACCAAACACACAGATAAGATCAAACTGACCTATTAATAAAGGATAAAATTACTGAGAGTCTGGGTAATGCTTATTTTAGCTGGGGGAAATTAGATGTAGGGGTCGTGCTCTAGTGTGAAACAAAGGAGCAAAATAAAAACAGAACTGAGTTAAAAAGTAAATAAGTGCACTGAAGCAGTAAAATCAATAAGAAACAGTGTAATCCATAGACAAGCAAGTCTTATCTAAGTGAGAAAGCTGTGATTAAATTACTATCTCAGACAATCAGCATTGTCTGTTTCTAATCTGGGCCAAAGGTAAAACACAGGTAAACCACCAACAGAAAGCAAATCACGCCACAGCCTGTCAATATCTCAGAAGGATTAGGTCCTGCAAGTGTATTTCAGATATGATGGCAGGGAGCTATTAAAATGGATGGATGATGACAGAAAAACTGTCTCTACCCAAGGTCTCTCTACACAAGTCCCAGTGTTTTATAAATTACCTAGTCCATATGTGGTTGACTTTAGAAAGCAGAAGTCGGAAATGATCAAGCAGCTTGAGTAGGTAAATGTGCAACCAGTAGGGAGGAGTGATGCATTTAATGACAGTGATGAATATTATCTTTCAAACTGCTTAGTGGAGCTTGAGCAGAAGCTGTCTTTTCATTATCATCAGGTGAATGTTGCAGTATATATCTACAGATGCCCAACTATATAGCTATGCTGTTCTTAGACGTGTGGCTGTTTCTAATGGCAGACTTTATCCTGTCAAGAACTGTGATTCTACTGACCTAAGGTTATTTGGGGCTAGTGTAATTAGCATGCAAGTGAGACAGGTTGCTAAGATGCCACTGCTTTGTGAATGGCCAACTGTGCTTGTCCATGTCTGAGCCCATTTCACGCTCTAGAGTGTGGCATCATGTGAAGTTGCCCCCAAACCATTCTTGTTTCATGTGTTTTAAAAGAGCCTTGTACAGTGCACATATCTGGGACCACAAGTTCCACAGTTTTGTACATTATTGTTTCCCTTTGATTTCCTTCTTGGCTGATGGCCACTTTCCAACTGATAGGATTAGACCTCAGTGTGCCAGGCAGTGTTCACTGTGATTACTTTACTACAGTCATGGTGAAAAACAAAGAGGCCCATCAGTTGTGCGAATCTGCTCTAATGACCTGAAAAGAAAGAGGGAATTACAGTCACACAGGCATGCAGGGTAGAAACATGCCTCTCAGGTAGCTACTAGCTGAAAGACTAGGGACTGAAAAGAAGGGGCAAAGCTTGGCAGATCTCCAAAAGAGGATGACAAACAAACCTCAAAGAGGAACAGGTGTAATGACAGACACACTCCCCCAGACAGCAAGTGTCCTTTTACAAAAATAGATGGATAAAAGCTGTGTACTGCAGCTCTGTGTTTAGAACTTTAAGAGGAGTGAAACTGGCAGTGATGCACAGCAGGGGTTTATTCAATAATTTTAAAGCTGTTTATTGCTTTGAGATGTGGTGGCATTACTCACCCTGCTCAGACCCATGTGGTAGCTGCTCTTCTCCAAATCCAAGGACTCCAGAAGCTCCTCCACAGCCTGGGCAAAGGCACAACATGTACACAAACATACACACAGTCTTAGTCTTTCAACTGATGAATCCGGTGGGAACCTCTACTGATGCCGCAACAGTTCAGTAGTCTACAACTCCCCTAAGTTGCCATGCTGAACTAATGGTACAGTGCAGTTTTTCCTTTTTCCTCACATCCATCCCCGACTGTATTTTGTTTTAAAACTTAGACAGGAGGCACGAGAAAAGTTTGACTCCCCAGAACCTTCCAACCCCAGCCACAAACCAATTACAACTCATCACCCAGAATCCACCTGCTCCTGCCTTATTCCCCTGGTGGCCTTGCCTCTGTTGCAGCTTTGCACACATATAAACTATGCAGAGGTGCACCATCAACTAGCCTGGAGCCTCGTTCTCTGTCCATCTACCAGTCTGTGTATACTGTAAGTGTATTGTTGTCTGAGCCTCTTCTTTGAGTCACCAGCATGAAAGACCACATCTAGATTACACCATGCGAGGTTCGCTGTGAGCACTGAGGGGCTTTTGTTTGCCAGTGTTTCCACAGAGATTCAGCCCCAATACAAAGGCGAAAGCCCTTTTCTCTGCTTGCGTTCATTTCTTTTACTTTCCATCTCCCTCTTTCTCATTACTCTCTATTTTTTCCTCTCTCCACTGTGTTTTAACCAGGGGATCTCTTGCCGAGGAACAATATAAACCAAAGTACAGCACATTCTAGCTTTCAATTTCTAAGAATAAAACTTATATCAGGCTTCAGATCAAGGTTTTTCTGACTTATCATCAACATATTTAAAACGAAAGCATAAAAGGGGTAAATCTGTCTGAGCACTGGGTAAAAACTTTGGCAGGGCGTTTCCAATGCCAAGACTGCAAAAGATGAGAAGCACATCTACTTGAACAGTATTTTATAGCTTTGAAGTGTTGAGCTTTCTGGCCACAATACTGCTCTGCCTTTTTAACTGGCATGATACTGATAAGGTTAAGTTGATTAGATAATTACAATAGCTCTGATAAATAAAGGTTTATTTCTCTGTCAGTTGGCTGCTGACAAATCAGGGACAGATGTAATGAAGCTGCCTCTTCACAACATTAACCTTCACTGTGCTTGGCCACTGGCATAGCAGTATATTTTACTGCCTTTCTTCCTGATTGACTTACTCTCTTCTCGTCCTTCACTATGTAATTCCTCCCGTGCTTCTTAGTGAGGTGCGGTGCCAGAACATCAAAGCGTCGTCGAAACTCAGAGAACACCATGTGGTCGGGGTAACCTGTGAAGGTTGGTGTTGGGTAAAAACATTATATTCTGAACATATTTGTGGAGTGTAATGGGTATGTTGTTATTCTGGGGGGTCAGGTATTATAGCCTAATACACATGGACAAGGGGGTCTGTGATTCTAAATCTGGCCTAAGTATTGTAGATAGATTGAAGCAGCTACCTCACCTTGCCTGTAAATCCGGAGAGCATCGAGCAGCTTGGAGCCACGCAGCTGAGCACGGAGCAAGGCTACATCGAGTTGCATTAAGCCGGGATCTCCATTCTCCCCTTGAGACTCGCCTTCCCCTCCTTTGAACAGGGATCCACTCAGGGCCTTGAGGGCATCTGCCTTGGGCAATATGCAGTGAACAAAGTGAATTCTGGACCTCCGCACCATGTCAAGGAGAGCATCCTGCAAAAGACAGAGTAGGGTTAGGGACTCTGGTAGAAACAGGCCAGCAGTCAATGCAGTAAATTCTACTGAAGTACTTACATGCAACCAAGAGTTTGCCTTTTTCCACTGAAAACAACCAAATGTTCTGTGATATGCGCATCTTAGTGGTCCGTTTTAGTACATTTGTTTTTGTTTATTCTGTATGAGGCTTGAGTAAAACCCTTAAAAACCTACCAACGCTACGATAACGCTCAAAGACAAATAATTCAAACTGAGATTTCATCACCTTAATTTGTAAAGCCCACATTTCAATGTGTGTGTTTCTGCATACTTAACTGGATTAATGTGGACTTTCATGTACATAAGGCTCATGTCTTAAAGTTTCTACACATTATTATAACTTTGAAGCTGATTCTGCTTCTTTTTGATTACACAAAATTCTGCAGCAAATTGTTGAACCTTTTCTTCTTTTCGGGTTGTTCCTTTATTACTTTATTGTTAATAATGTTTAGGGGCAAACAGTATCTGTAGCAATTATGCCCATATTGAAAGATTGCACACCTAACAGTTTACATCCCTAACTTATATGCCGTAACAATGGCATGTGCAGATATTGAGGTAAGCAAGAATTTTTAAAACAACATAGCACTGGCCTTAAAAACACTCAATGGATGGGATCTGGGAATTTGCTGAACTATCCCATATTGATATTCTTCTCAAGAAACAGGCTTGGAAGCAAAATAGCTGCAGAGCTGTTCTCACAGCACACCAGCATCAGACCTAATGTCATTAAATTTATCTATGGCTACAGCCCATATACTGGCCTTGATCCCATCCATTTTCTTTAAAGTTCCTTTCAACAATTTGTGACTACTACTATATAAAGGCCCTAAGTAGACTCCAAAGCAAATTTACAGCTATGAACCTTGATATACTCTATCAACCTATCAGCAAGTAAGAAAACTGAATACTAGGATATTGATTCTCACTGTGTGTGTCAAGTTTACGGCAATAGATGTCAGGATACACTGACCTGGACCTTTGGCCACAAAATCTAATCAGCTCACCCATGAGTCCAAGCGGACACTTGTGTTAAATTTGAAGAAATTCCTAAGGCCTTTTTGAGATATTGCATTCAGGAGAACGGGCTGGACAGATGTACAACCCAAAACATAATGCCTCCGGCCACAGCTATCACCGGTGCAAAGTCATAGAAATATAGTGTTGACTGATAGTGTGATTAGTTCCATCCTCCTCTCTCACCACTTGAAGCTTTATCTGGATGCACAAAGACCTCTTCTTGATAGCAGCTACGCCTGTGGTGAAGGTCTTTCTAATACTACTGGCCCGCCGCAAGGACAGCTGGGAACCACCTTCAAGGCCTGCAATGGGACTGGACAAAAGAGTGGCTCCACCCCCTCGGCTCATGCACAATGAGCTGATAATCTTCCTGCAAGAGATAGAGTACCTCAGCTTAGAGTTTTGTAATAACACACTAAAGCAACATTTCAGGTGATAACCCATCCATGCATTCGTGATTCTCACTTTTGGGAGTTCTGCAAGAGGCTTGCGGCATTGGTGGAGGCAGGATTCTGCCTGGCATAGTTCAGCCACCCATGGGCATCGTACTCCACCCAGTCAGTCCCATGACTGTGGCCCAGCAGGAAATGACTGTCGTTTTCACTCTTCAAGAGGAAAGTGTGACCTAATGTATATGCAAGATATAATGTGAGATTCGCTGGCTCATCGTACACATGCAGAGAGATGACAAAAATGAGCAGTCACTTTCAGAAGTTTAAGTGTGTACAGAATTTATACAGTCTGCAGGAATACTTTATCAAAGCAACCGGATTCATCATGTCTTGGCTACTTGGGTATGTGTAGTCTGTCACAAATCAACATAAACCTTCACTGATACGGTGACAACAAAAGACACGTTTCTAATCTAGGTGTTCATGGGGCCTCTGAGCCTGTCCATGGAGCTTTAGCATGAAATGTTTGAAACCATAATACTATACTGTCATAAATAATGCAACGGTCTGACTCAAGCATGATGTGGTAGACTATCAAAGAGATATGGGTGATAAACTAGAGAGAAAGTTTAGCCTATATAAAGAGCATGAATGAGAAACTGTCAGCTGTATTTTTGGAAGGATAAATGACATTTTTTCCTCTACCGAGTTGTAGTGGGTGCATTTTTATAAACTGTACCAACAATTTCTATGACTTGTCTACAGAATAATGCTGGGTAATATGTCAGATACAGTTTATTATATCAGTATGAATAGTCTCTCTTGATGACAATACAGTTTTTCACAGACACAAAAGTCTTCAGCAGAGGACTATAATAAGTCTCAGAGACTATAAGTAACACACAGTGCACATACTGTATGTTATGCAACAACAGAAGTGAAAGTTGGCAACATTCATTAATATTAATATATTGATAATTCTGTTTATATGAAATATTCATATTAAGCTTTTTATTTAAAAACACTAATCTTCTCATTTGTCCTTTTCTTCAGCAGCTATTATTAAAGGGTGAAGTAGAGTGTTTGCCATGCTTTGTATTAGAAGGCAAGTTTCTGCGTGGGGGTGTGTTTGTCCTCTCCTTGCCTTTACTCTCTCCCTCAGCGGGTCCATAGTAGCTGAAGAGTCGTCCCAGCAGTGTTTCCTCTGATCCCCCTGGTTGCAGCGCCTCCTCCTCCATCAGCCACAACAGACCCCGCACCTCATCTGTTCGTACTGTCCGTACCTGTCAAACAAACACACATACATATGGACCAAAAAAGGTCATAGGTCCTTAGTGAAATCCTAATGTGGATACAAACTGTTCTGTTTTACCCGCGGTCCTTCAGAACGATACTGTATAGTAAATGACTAGAAATAACTGTCTCACCAAAATTAACTGATTACTGTACCTTTAGCTTACTTTGCATTTTACCTATTTGACCCATGTAACTAATAGATCTGTCTCAAAACGATTATGTTCCACTAACAGTCCCCTATACATGGTTAACAAGGCACCTTGCCAGAAGCATTAATATGATGAATCAGAGGATATTTCAGCCTTTATCCATCTCCTCGGAACACTAAAAACATGGTACAAATACTAAAAAAGACCCTTGCTGAGTGCTGGTAGTTTGCTGTAAAAATAGTTGACTGTATGCTATCCCAGTATGAGCCAGCTGTGACTATCCTGATATACATAATAATAGCATCGGTTTGAGCATTTGTGGTACCTGGACTGTCAACAGTTACTGCAATAATAGCATCATCAGTTTAGTGTGTGCTTAACATCAAATTTGTGACAACAAAGTGATGGCAGAGAAAAGATTCAAAACTGACACAATTAGTATTTCAATGAGAGTAAACACAGAAAAAAATCAAATCCATTTCAGCATCAATGGTCATAAAACTAGTGCATGGGAAAGGTTTGTGGTGTCCTCTTATACGACATCCAGCAGGTAATGTGACTATTATGGGCACACATCTCAACTACCACAGTGTATACTTTATACATACATTTATACATTCAGAATAAAACAGTATACAGTAAAACCTTGGACTGCGAGTATAATTTGTTTCAGCAATGTGCTTATAATCCAAAGCACTCGTATATCAAAGCGAATTTCCCCATAAGAAATAATGGAAACTCAGATCATTCGTTCCACAACCCCTCATTCATATAAAAATGATTACAGTAATACAAAATACAGTATAAAGTAAAAATAAAACAAATTAACCTGTACTTTACCTTTGAAAAGAATCATGGCTGGCGTGAGGGAGACGAGAGGAGCTACCTGCTGGCTCGCTAAAATCTTTTTCTTTTTCTTTTTGTGCGCCTTTAACAAGGAAGCTATCTGATGACACTTGCTTTTGCCTCCTTTTAAGTATTTGGCAGAAATGCATTGCATTGTCATCTGTACTGCTACAGCCTTATTCGAATGGTGCTTTTCCACAAAATTTTGCACCATTTCCCACATTTTACACAACTCCCTCATAAAATCTTGCGATGTCGGCCACTTCATGCTTCTTGATGATTTCCTTCTTAACTTCCACTGTAATCACCTCCTTTTTCTTACCGCCCCTCTTTCATCGGGGGCTTTCTTCATCGGGGCCATTGTTGCAGTACAGATGTTGACTATACGAGTGAGGCGCAAGAACCATCGGCTCAGTTGTGTACGTGCTACTCATATTGCAAGACCTCGCTCGTCTATCAAGTTAAAATTTACAAAAACATTTTTGCTCATCTTGCAAAACACTTGCAGACCAGGTTACTCGCAATCCAAGGTTTCACTGTACTCTGTTTTTGCTATTAAGTTTGCCAAGTTCCATTTTTCCAAAGATTTTTAGTGTGGACCCAAAATCATTGTGGCCTATTCTAAGGTAGCCAGCTTGGTTAACATGGCTCAGGCCTGATTCCACCCCAGAAACATCAAAACCAAAAACTGTATTAGTAGCTATCAGGAGGTTACACTGGTGGCATCCTTATCAGCAGTGCACACTACACTGACTGAAAATACAACACTAAGTGTTGGTTTGGAGAAGACCTACGATAACTATGAGGCTTGCAAGGAACAGAGCACTAAGGTTGTGATAACAGACACCCGAGCTACAACAGGAGAAAAAATAGGAGTCAAAAAAAATCTTTGATGAAAATACTGTATATTTTGATTCTAGTCAGCAACCCTTCAGTGTTGACTTTAGAAATGATTTTGAAGAATCCGTTTTATTTTTCCCTTTGCTTTTCAGTGCAACATACTACAGCTCAGTGCTTCTGATGACATTCCCATTAGAGTGGGAACCCTTTAAAAAGTAAAGCACTCAAACCAAACACATTGGAATTATGCCGACGTGATCTATGGCTCTCTAAACTCTGCCATTTCTGTTTCCATGGTGCAGATCACAGGCTGCGAAAGCCAAACATTGATTGCTAACCTTTCCTTTCCTGCTCCTACCCTCTGTTTCAAGCTTCTGCTGAACAGCACTTTCCATATTTAAGAACTCACATAAAGGAAACTTACATTGTTTAAAAATTAGATTCATTTTGGAGTAAAAAAAAAAACTAGTTCCCAGAGATTACTTGTGAAAATAGCTCATGAAAGGCATACAAACCTCTCAGGTGTTCAGACAGGCATGTTATTACATCAATACCAGATTTATGCATGAAAACATCCCCATAAATAAGTGCCTATGCAAGTGGGAAATACGACATAATAATAAAGACAGAGATGAAAACAACAGAAACGCATCAAAACACTGCACTCACCAGCGCTTGGCTTGAAGCTTGGTCTACCACTGCCACAGATAGAGATGTGCTGGGGTCAGTGTCATCTAACGCAACCTCAATGTTCTCCTAGAGGAAGAAGGGCAGATTCTTTAATAACTTGTCATGGTGAATAAAATAAAAAACTACAGTTTCATCAGGAGATGTACACTTTGGTTTTGAAAAGTTAAAAAACAAGAAACTAAAAAAAATACATACATTTTTTTAAAATCATATTTTAAAATATCATTCAGTGACTGTTTTGGGTTCTGGACTGTTAATCTGATAAAACAATACATCTGAAGAAGTCACCCTTGGGATTTTAAAATACATTTTGCATAGTTGTTAGACAGTTTTTAGACCAAATGATTAATCAAAAATAATTTTGAAATTAACTGATAATAAAAATAATCCTAAAAATTGTAAACAGCCCATATGCTAGCTTTTGGTTAGAAAGGCACATGAGAAGAGGCCAACACAGGTCCCTCTAACCCATGCACACTGGTGTCATCCAAATAATTTAAAATGCCGAATCCCCTCTATAACTATTCAAATAAAAACAGCAGCATATTAGAGGTAAGAAAAAACTAATAACCAGAATACAATTATTACAACAATTAGAAAATGTGGCATTTACTTAACTATTTTTCTTGTAGGTAAATGGAAACTCATACTATTGCAGATGATAACATTTCCGATATAAAGTGGAAATAAATATGCAACATTACCTTCACCAGAGCACAACAGGCACAGCTCACAGTGACAAAGTGCAGGATGCACTAGAAATGTGGGAAAACGTTGGCAGTGCCAATAGTGTTCAAGCTGACTATTTACGTGAAGTAGCCTAAATGATTTTTGTTCTCTGCTGTGGAATGTCGATGTGAAAATACTGTACAAAAACTATCCACACTGCTGCATCATTCAACAGCTTTTAGTTTAAAAATGCAAGCGTGTCCCTGTTGTGTATATCCGAGTTTAACCTACCTGTCCCTGCCATTGTTCATACTGTGCTGTTCTGAATGAGTTTGACCCAGTTTTCGATGACAGTTTCACAGCTGCTCTCAGTTTCATAGCTGAAGATGTTCTGACAAGAGAGCATAACACTACACAGACTGATGCAATACTTCATTTACCTCCAATTCCCTTTTTCCCAGGCAGAGGACGTGGGTGGGAAATCCCAGGATCCGTTTTCACAATACTAAAAGTAACACGATCAGAATTTCTACTTAACTTCAGTGTTCTATCAGCTGAGTTTTCAGTAAGAACTCAGCTTTTTTCAAATTGGACAGCTGTAATGGATGAATACATTTATTAGCAATAATATCTTAAATGTGTAGTGATGACTATGTCCACTTATTGTGATCCAACATTGTTAGACACAATTATGAGGAGGACGGAAAAAACATCCTCATCAGGGAGCAACACTGCTGTGCAGCTGGGCGTGCCTCCCAAAGGCAGTTGTGAGTGACTTTACTTTGATCTCGGCAGACGAGGTGAAGACTGGCATCGCTAATGAGAAGGTCGAACACATGAATTACTTTGGCTTGTCACAGCTTGTGACAGGTGGGAGGGATAGTGTTTCTGATGTGTGAACACACACTATTGGGGTTGATATATCTGAGAGAAAGCAGCAGACACAGACAGAAAGATGTAGGTGGAACAAAGACAATGAGAATGAGGTTATAGGTATGCGTGCTGCATAATGCTTCACGCCCTTACATCTTTGTATCTCTCCAACTCCTGAACAAAGGAGCGCTGGTAGAAGAGAGTCTGCAGACGCTCCTGAGTGTAGTTATGGCATAGGTCCTCAAAGGTTGCGCCACACTCGCGTTTAGCCAGCCTGGGGTTTTGAAAGCCTGGTGTGTCCACAATGAACAGAGAACACAGAGAGTGCTGGCTGGATTTCAAGGCCCTGAAGCACAAAGAGAAAACACACACATACACAAACATTAGCACTGTGATACTTGACACTACATTTTATCGATTACATTCACAGCATATAAGCCCTAGTTTTAACCTTAGTTCTATCCACCACATCCCTAGTCTTAAGCCTCACTAAAATAATCCTTATTCTAACCTAAATCCAAACATCTAAACTGTTTCTTATACCACTCAACTACTAACAAATGAAAAACCAACTAAATTTTATTCAAGATGCCAAATAATATATCAAGCAGGCATATAAAATGATGCACAAAGCATCTACACATTTTTATTACTGCGCATAATGATCTAGCCAAAACAGTCATGTGATACAGGTTCACTAAAGGACCAGAGCAAAAATACCAACCGATTTATTAAGGAAATGAGGATGGTAAAGAGTTCCGAATAAAGCCCAGAAGCCATGGCCTCTAAACATTCCATGGCTGTAGCCTTGGATCCTGGTAGGAGAAGCAACCAAACAGAGCAAATTAGAAAATGCCAGTTCATAACAATACCTCCGACAAACATGAAAACCCAATAAACTTGAGGAAAACAGGTCTATTTTGAGCTTTAAAAGCTAGACTAAAGCTGCAGTCACTGTGTTGGCTTGTTAAAAGTATTGTATTTGAGCACTGTATGCCCAAAGCTATGAAGTATTCAAACTGAGTCTACAATTGTCTCTCTAAAGCAGTGTCATGTAGGACACAGGTGGTTCAGAACTGGTCAGATCAAACAGCACACAGTCATGTTTGTGCCTTGTGGCAATGGCCACCTGTTAAGCTCTCCTAATTCATTGTACTATCATGGTAAATTGTGAGTTTATTGCATTTGGGAACATTTTCATGTGCACACACTTCTATGTCTGCATGTTCCTGTGTGAGGAGAGCTACATGGAAAGTGAAAAGAGGTCAGTTATGTCTACTCCTTCTGTCACAGACACTTAACTGTATCCTCATGCCCTTCAACGTGTGTTGCAGTCTTGATGCAAGTCAGAGGACCCGCACATTTGAAAAATCAATGTGAGGCAATTATGATTTCAAGGACAATGAATGGAGAGTGGATCCAAAATTGCCTGTCCCGACAATTGCTTGTGTGTACTTATCTGTCAATAACCATTGTAAAGCTGTGGTATTCATTACTAAGATAAGCTTTACTTTCTCCAGAGCATGCAATTTCCCTCAGGTGATGAGCAGAGGCGTACGTGAGTGCATGTATGTGGAAACAGAGTGAGAGTGACAAAAGGGGGTGGGGGTTAGTGACTGTGAGGAATGAAGAAGAAAGGGTCTCATTGGTAAATGTGGTCGGGGGAGTACCTGCATCCGCTGCGCCATTTTCATCAGAAGCCTGGCGGATGGTGCTGGCTCTGGGTGGGGTGCCCTTGGCCTGGTGCTTGAAAATGGAGGAGGAGAGCTCCTCCAGGGTGCAGCCCAGCAGGTAGGCTGCCTTCTGGGCCCACTCATGACGTGCAAATTGTTTCCTGCCAGCTGAAACATGTGCATGAAAACCTCCATTAGCCCTTCTGCCAACTACCCCATGCACATGACTAGTCTGGTAGCTTTGTGACAATCCTGTCTCTGACAGGGTAGGATTATGTCTCTGGTGAAGCCGACACTCACACGGCTGGTGAAAATATGCATTAAAAACATGTTCAGAAAGCTGGTGCTTTGAACACATTTAACAATTGTCAAAAGAAGGACCCATGCACTAGCATCAGCAAATACTGGTTCCTGTTCAAAAACACCTATGAAGTTAAAGTGCTATCTTCTTGAGAATGAAAGGAAAACTCATTACAAAATTTATTTGCACAAGGCCCTCTTTTTGGAAACAAGTTTCTCTTTAATCTAATGGCTGAGTGATGGAAACATGCAGATATGAAGGGAAGCTTCAGTTTAATCCACCATGAAGTGGTATCTTCTTAAAATGAACAGAGAAACTGGGGGATTTCACTCTATCAGTTTCATCAGCACTGCAGAAGCCCTACACACTTTTCATGATGATAAGCAGTACAGTTGTAAAGACAAGCCAATACAAATACAGTACATATATTTACTTTGAGAAATCTTTGCCACCACAATTATTTAAATTACTGTAAAACATCAAAAGGAGCAAAGTGTCGATATAATTGAATCAAATATTAAGGACTGTGACTTTAAAAAAAACATTATATGCATCTGGATTTAAAAAGCTCAGTGTGATTAGGCCTTTTTTCTATATACACTTAAATAAATGTTGACAACAGAGTATACAAAAAAGTAAGTTAATTTTCAGAGGTCCCTTTAATTAGTGCTTGTGGATTAGAGATCATTGCTGCCCTCTAGTGTTACACTATGAAGCTGCACTGCCAACAAACATCTCTATATACTTGTGAAAGCTGAAACACAAACTACGCCCTCGCAGCATTAGCATATTAGAGTGTACACATGAATTAATTCAATACTATTTAAGACAAAATCTAATTAAAATCAAGGTGCTGACTCTCTCCTAACCTTTATCCTTGTGCATTATTTGCTCATGAGAGCCACTTGGTGTTGATGACAGCATAAGTCACCCAGTAATTTGCAGATCAGAGCAAAGTAGTTTAGCGCCTGTATTCCCAACAACAGATGCTGCACGGGACGATATTCATTTCTGAAAATTTTAGAACTTTTCCTGGATATACTGGCAGCCAGCTGGAGGGGATCACTGAAAATAATTTGGCAAGCAATTCAGCACAAGTGACTGGCAGTTACAGTGGAGACAGATAGGGAAAAGTGAACAAACATATCTCAAACACAAAATACAGATCTCCTCTCACTGCTAGTAAACAGCCCTTGAGATATGCATGTTATTCTGATAGATTGTATTTGTTAACAGCTTCTGAATCAGAAAATGTCAGACTATTGATTTGCACTACAAAGTATCCTTAGACTAAATTTGCACATCAACTAAAGACAGTTAAAATAAATAATATCCAAACAAAGTGAAACTTTTAGATATGAATAAAACTTTTAAATCTCTGTTTGCAAACACATTTATTTGAAAAACACAGATGGTTCGATTCCTAAGGGTCTCTCATACTTAGAAATAAAACCTACCTCTAACCTCACCAGCAACAAAAATCCTTTTGACAGTGTCAGCCTTCTCAAGTGGCAGATATCTAATTTTAAAACCAAAGTTAAATGCAGTGAGAGGCACATCTATTACTTTAAAGCTAAAAAAAAAACAAACTGTCTTACGTTAGGTTTCATCATACAAATGGCTTCAAAGACAGGAACAAATCTTCATGTTTAGAATGACTGTTGTTCCCACCAGTCCTCTGATGTATTCTTATGACAAGACAAAACGCTTGTCAAGAAATAGGGCCAGAAGGAGACTCTTTCTGTCCTTGAGTTGCAACGGTGTTGACTAACAATTAGACCTGGGTAGTCTGTCAGTGTTTTCAGCTGCTGTAATACAAATCGTGCTTTGTTTATTGGGGATTAATAAGGTCAATCTGACAACGGTTCAGATCTGGCAGCCAAAACACAATGTATCACTTCACCTGCTGTATGTGAGCATTAGCAGTCCAAACTACAACGACCACATCCTGCAGGATAAATCTGTGGCAAGAAATTCTGAAGCAGAAACTGTTCTGTAGTGATTAGGAAAATATCTGGAATACTGATGGGCTCAGACACATTTAGCCCAGTTTAAATTTCATTTTGTAAAACAGTGTAGTGGAGCACCGACTTCTTTTAGAGTGCATAATTCATTTATCTGCATTACAACTGCCTTGCACCACACTGAGATAGTTACCTAGGTGAGATAATGCAGACTTTGCATTTCTGAAAATAAATGAAGTGTTATTAAAATGGTTTTGGGTAATTTATCATTTTCATCATGTACTCTAGTTTTATATTGTTGTCAACGGTGTACAAATAAAGGATGATCCTTTTTTACTGGTATGTGTTCTATTAAGAAAAACATTATCCACACAATTAAATGATGCAGCTACTGAAAGGTAAACCAAGTGCTGAGTTCAGCAGTCTTACCCTTAGTAGCTCCTGCAGCTCCGAGATGGTAGATGGCCCCAAGGACAAGCCAAAAGGCCCTCTGCTCATCACCACTGATCCCCAGAACCTTCATGGCAGCTTGCAGTTTGGAAAACTGCTGGGTGGCCCGTTGCTTATCTTCAGTCTGACAGATAGCACATGTTTTCAATTACAACTCATTTGTGAATGATTAATAGTAAGATGTTTAAAGCCTGTTCTTGAGGTGGACTGACCTGTCGAATTATAATTTTAAATAGAAATAGCCAAAGTGACTATCTGCAGAGGTTCAGCTACTTTGAAAATACAATCCTACTGTGAAAATACAGTTTTTGTATTTGGCTGCTACAAGCCACAGTAAATTAGGCCAAGGCTGGTTGATGTTTCAGTGTCAGGATCTCTGATAAATGTGGATAAAAGATAAAGGTTAGTGAATGCTCCTTTAAGTTACGGTCAAGACATGGATCGTTTCAACCTTCCTACACTGTTCAGCACTAAAGTCCCTCATGGCACATTTTCTTGCCTGGTTGTTAAAAGAACAGGCCAGTCTCCCATTAACAAGCAGCGTTTACCTTGGTCTGAGGTACGATTCCAAAAGCATTGTTTTCAGCAAAGTGGTTGAGGTGCAGCTCAGTTCTGATGAAGAGATCAGACAACACAAAAGACATCAACATCTCTCATATCTGCTACTGTGTCAATCATTGGAACTATAAAAGCAATTGGCAGCACTCTCTAAAAGCATGAATACATCACTGACACATATCAACCCAGTGCAGAGATGTAGTGTATTGTGCATTTAATTAGCATAATAGTAATAATCCTGACCTAAGAGAGCTATCTACTCCAGCCATCAGGTAGTAAAAGACATTAAAACTGGACTCTCCCTCTGGTCTTCTTGTCACCCTCGTCCTCTCCAGAAGCATGGTCTGCAAGGCCACATCAGAACAGGGCATTTGCATAGAAACATACAGTGCAAATAAGCATAATAACAAAGCAGGTCGGTGTTTGGTGAAAATATATACTAGTCTGTGGCATGTCTGGGATCATAGTAGCTATGCATGAGTAGGAGATTTGCATTGGAGAACCAATGATTGTGTGTGTTTTTTTGTACCTGGATAGAGGCTGAGGTCACCAGACCTGACTGGTCAAAATCCAATGAAACAATATGGGAGAAGCGACTAGCATTCCCATTCATACAGGTAGAGGCATTCCCAAATGCCTCCAAAACTGTGTAGACTGCCTGCCATTTCTCTGCTACAAACAGCAATGAGAAACACATTCATTTGTAGGACCCAACGACAACATGCACTTGATTCAAATCTTTTTCTTTTTTCAGCCTACTGGAGAAGGTTTTGTTGGTGCTGCCAGCAGTAGTAGCCAGATACTGGATGATGTGTTGACAGTTGGTGGTCTTGCCACTACCACTTTTGCCCAGTAAGACAATGGACTGATCCTGGCGAGTGGTCAGGAGGTTCCTATAGGCAGCCTGAGCCATGCTGTAAATGTGAGGGGCAGTGTCCTCCCTTCTGCAGCCTTTGAACATTTGCATAACCTGGACGAAATAGTGAAAGAGAGAAAGAGAGAATGATAGCATCATAGAGAAGTGGTTATAAATATCAGTTACTATCTTTGTAAGCTTATTTCATTCTGATTACACTCTTCTATAAAGGGATCTCATCATATGCTCAGGCTGCAGCCTACCTTCTCAGAGTACATCGAGGGGGTACTAATGGGGTTAATCACCACCATGTTTTGCCCAGCATGGGTGTGCACCAGGTTACCACCGTACCGCTGACGCAGGGAGTGCATTACACTCGACTCATTCAGATACTGCAGAGAGGCCAGGTCCTCCACTCGGTCAAACATCGGAGGGTTTGCCTAGAGTTCAAAGTCAGAGGCAGTCACACCCTCGCCCGGTGACATCCGTAATTAATGAGGTTTAGAGTTGATTTAATGATTAAATACCTTCTCTACATCATCTTCGTCCACATCCAATAAAGATCCATCACTCTCCAGGCGGATTTTCACCTTCCCCTCTGGCAGGCTGCCTACCTCCGTCTTCAGGAGAGTTGCTGTATCACCACAAAGCAAGGACTTAATTTATCATGACATATGGTCTCGACCTGAACGCAAAAGCTTCATCTTAACTTACATGTCTGATAATGTATGGCATATGTATCACTTTAATACTGCCTAAGATTTATTACAACTAAACAATCAACCTTGAAAACATGACTAGTCTATAGTAATTACATACAGTGTGAGGTAAAACGGACGAGGCTATTCGGGTGCCCTTATTACCAACACATTCTCTATGCTTCAAACTCCTACTTCTATAGTTCTGCAATCACATGTCACTCAGAAACGGATGTTCCAGCACTGGCAGGAGAGTAAGTTATGAATTTGCTTTAAAATACTTAAATAACAAGGAACATGACACAATTTAAATACAGAAGCTTTTACTAACCCAAAGAAAATCCATCCTTGTGGACAAGCCATACTTTTTCTGTGTCATACCAGGCTTTCTCTGCCACAATCTGCTCCTCAGTCTTTCCCTGTTAGAATAAATTAGCAATCAGTATGAGAAACACTGGTCCAAGCAATTATTTAACATTAAAAACAGTAATGTAAATCTAAGTGTTGAATAATTAAAATCAGATAACAGCATAATGGACATCCAAAATCATCCTACAAATGAGATTTAGGCAAGCTCTGATTAACATGCACTTCACATTCACAAGGGGGAACTGGATTCTTAGGGTGGAACTCCAGTGTGAAAAAGTGCATGATTGTGTGCACACTGATTCATTTTTATATTTCACCTCCAGCATTTGTATCAAGTACACATCAGCCCCCTGAGCTCCCTCGCCTGCCTTTTTAATGCAGAGCTCGCCAAGTGTTGACTGAACTCATTGAGGGTGCATTTAATGTGTTCACTGAAAAGACACTGCAGACGGAAGGTACAGAAATATAGTAAGATACATTTAAAAACACTATAACAAAGATCCCCAGAGAGGGTACCTCCTCTTCTCTACTTCAACAAGTAGAGCTACAAGGAAGATGACTACTGCTGCTGGGCCATTCTCCCACACTGCTCTACTAGTGCATCACACACGCAAAACCACAAAGCACACATCAGTCTGGAACACGAGAGGGATTCAACCAGAACTACAATCAGTTGCAGCCACGGTCAAACCTTAGTTGCAGCTGCGTGCGCTGCCTGAAGGATGGCCACAGGCTCCTCAGCGAGCTGGGACTGGAGAGGGGAAGGAGCAGAAATCAAATGAGACGGCAGTCTTTTTAGTGACCGTGATAGTGTGGTTTAGTAGTTATTTCCAAGTGCACAACACAAACTGTGCAAACTCTGTCAAGTTGCAAAACTATAATAATAGGCCACATATCATTACAAGCATAAAAGATAATACAAAACACTGCAGCAAGATCAGCAGCTGCTGAATGATGCAGCTGTAGTTCCAGCAACGGTATTAGAGTAAGTCATTCGATTAATTCACCACAGAAGAATTATAATATTAATGCATTCATAAGCAGGGATTACAAGGTTCATTTAAGTGCACCGTGTTTGCCTATGGACACAAAATTCATTTTCAGCCATATTCCCAGTCACAGTTAACATGATCAGTTGCACATAGTAAGGGATAAATACAGCCAAGTGTAGAACAATGCAATGGTTAATGTGAATGAACGGAGCTATAGATGTAATGGAACAGCATAAATACTAAAATATTATGTAATATGCAAAAGGTACTGCACCACTGCAAACAAACTGTGATCCTGCACTTTTTTACATGACAGATTCCCATTTGATAAGAATTTGAAAGTGCAAAGTAACTGAGAAATTGTTTACCGTTGCATATGGCAACAGTACAGCCTGAGTATCAACATGCGAGTATGAACAGCACAAGCAAAGTCCATTTTACAGCTGCACATTATGTTAATTATAAACCAAATGCAGCTTTTATTCATTTTTGTTTTGGCCCTCTACAAACCTGGTCTAGAACCCCTCACCCAAACTTTGGTAGCCACTGGTTTATGTCACATTACTACATTCCAGGCTGTTGCTCAAAGCCAGATTGAACTGCAGAGAGCATCAAGGTGTCAAAACCAACTCAGCAGGCACGGACAAAGTAGGACTGAGAGGGGTCAGTAGAAAAGAACAAGCTTAGACTCCTGCGCTCTGCAGGTGAGGGAATGAGGCAAATCCACGGTCGAGTACCTGAGAGGATTTGTGGCCTTTGGCACGCTAGCCATGCAAACAGCGACGAGGACAGCGGCAGGTTGGGATCCAATAATCCACAGAGAAGCAAAAGTAAAGACATGGGACATCATTTGAGACAACAGTAGATCAAAGCAAGGATAAGGAAGAAGTTCCTTTAAATGCTCTAGAGAAAAACAAACAACCAGTCGCTGCCTTAAAATACAAACCCACTACAATAATCACACAGTGCCACTGATCAAGGTACTCCAACCTTAACAACAAAGCATTGAATACTACAGAATGAATGAAACAGACAAAAACATGCACCATTTACAGATCTAAAACTGGAAATCATAATCAGTATTATCAAACTATCCCGAGAATATTGCAGAAAGAGATCATCTAAATTTAATGGTTGTGATTTTTTTACTTCAGACAAACTGAAGACTGAATGGGCATGCAGACGCATTCCAAGAGGAGAAAGTCTAGTGCTTCTGAATGTGAAAAATACACCTAAATGTTTAGCAGCTAGATAAACACACACACACACACACACCTGTTCATTTGGTACAGCCTGGGTCTGGGGCGGTACAGCTGGGGATGGCTTACCGCTGGGGGCCACACGGGGACAAGACGGCTCCATCACCTTTACACAGCATGTAAATATTCACAAATGCAGACAACCGTGCACACACAGTGATTGACTTACATTTATGTTTCACCATTTTTATTCTCTTTAATTTCAGATTCATTTTAACACACTTGCTATTAAGAGCGACTTTACTGGATGTTTGCTCCTACTAATTGAATTTTCTAGTTAACTCAATCAGGAAATGAGTGAGAGAAAATGACTATTAAAGAAAATTGGATCATTAAGAGCTGCAGCAAGGGAAAAATGGTTAAGGGCTTTTGTTTGTCAGTGACTGTTTAAGCAACAGTGAGTGGTACATTTCTTGAAAGTCATTAAATAGTTTATAATTGCCTCTCCTGAACTCTTGTACTACAAGAAAAAAAGGAATCTGAAATGAAACCATCAAAAGTTAGTTTGTAATTATATGCAGCTGTGGCACTTGAATCAATAATTCTGGTTTCTGATATTTATATTTCAAGTTGAGATTGTGCTGCTAAAACTTTTTTAATTATGATAAAATAATTTCTAAAATATCCTGGCATCATTCAGATGACAGATGACTGAGAAGCCAGTAGGGCCATTACACGGCTAAATTTAACTGAGCTTTTTCTTAATTTTACTTAATGTAATTTTGCAAATGATTCAACAAATACATTCATCAATAAGAGCCTGAAGATTAAAACTAATTACTACAGAGATCATGCAGATTTATGTTAGAGGGATAATTTAGTTGCTTGTTTTTAATGGTCACGTCTGATGTCTTCCATTGCCCCCCATAGAAATATCCCTTAACTGCAAAGTCTGATATATAGCTCCGGTGAAAGCTGAAAAAGGAAAATCGCTTGAGGATCACCTCCAGGAACACTTAGTCACACATAAATGTACAATTGTAAGTTTGGCTTGGTCCAGCCTTTAATATTCAAAACCTAGGTCTCTCCCTATATCCGTTAAAAACACATTATGCTCCTCAGCAGAAATACCAGGTTCGTATCTTCAAAATCAAATCTCTCTCTACAAGGTCAATTACCCAACTGTTTGCCAGATTGCATGGACATCTGTGGATAAAATTTTCCCATGGCCTGCTGAAAGACAGAATACCAAGGCTTCAATTTAAACCAGGGACTGTGAAGTATATCAAAGTTTGAAACTATGAAATAGCATTCGCTTTCCATGGTCAAAAATAAATATTACAAATGTAGTGGTCTACAGCAGACAGACCACAGCGTTAACATTAACTTCGACAACAGCAATGAATCCCAGCTCAGAGCCCACACAATCCAAATGACCAGACTACCGGAGTCAAGGCAACGAGCAGCTCCTTAACCCTCTGGTGAAGTTTGAGCTGCTACATGCGCCCTCCATCCCTTCACTTATTTAGAATGGCTTCATTATGTCAAGGCTGATTTTTGTCAGAAATCAAGATCAACCTGTGCTTTGGAGAAAATGTAGAGCGTTCCATTAGTTTTGTTATCTGCTAGGAGATAGTGTAATTATTATCATTCCAGTTGTAAGCAAAGTCACAATCTATGTACAGAAACAAATCTACTCAAGTTGAAGATGACTTTGAGGAGAAACATCATGTGGCTGTTTCATTGATATCAGCAGTAATGTCTGTGTTATTATCACACAACATGCTCCACCCAGAGGTTACAAAGCAGACATGCACACAGTACCTCCGGTTTCTTTACAGCAAATGAACGAGGCTTTGGGATGAACCCTGCAGGTGGAGCCAGCGGGTCCATCTTTGGGACCGGGATAAATCCCGGAGGTCTTGCCAAGAGATTCTGTTTTGGGGGCACAGGACTGGATTTTCTGGCAGGAATGAAACCAGGTGGTGGAGTCAACAGATTCTGTTTGGGGACAGGGATGAAACCAGCAGGTGGGGCAAAAGGGTCAGGTTTAGGAGGGGGGATGAACCCAGCTGGAGGAGTGAGGGGACTAGACTTCAGTGGTGCAGGATTTGGTGCTGTAATAGCAGACACAGTGGCTTCCTCTGTTTTCTCTACTGTAGGTTTTTCCTCTTCTTCCTCCACCTTTCCTTTCTCCTCCTCCTCCTCTTTGCGGTCCTGGGTGCGCATGCGAGGCCGGTGCTCCTTGATTCGACCTCTGCCCATTAAGCTCGTCAGGCCCAAGGAGATGTCATCTTTGTCCTCCCCAGGAGCCTTAGTGGTTTTGAGGACAGAGTCTGTAGCAGCAGTGGCCTTAGCAGACTCTGAAACTCCAGGGTGGTACTGCTCTTCGGTTCCAGCAGGGACCACACGCCTAACAACTCTTCTCACCACCCTCACCACCTTTTTACCCCCAGAACTCTGGCCCTCACCTGGAGTGTTTGGACCGTCCATGGCACCGTTACTACTGGACGCTCCCGCTGTTGATATTGCTGACTGTGCACCACTTCTTGTGTTCAGGCCAGGTTTAGCGAGTGCCTGAGGCTCACTACCATCTACATCAGCCTGGATACAAGCGGAACAAGGCATAAAATAATGCTAATTATTTCCATGGCTGATGCAAATCAACTGTCAATGATTACAAGTGCAGGTTCTTGGCTCAGAGATTCTCTATAGAGAATCATTCAAAATTGGATTCATATCAGCTTGTGGATCTTAAAGCCCTCACTCAAACTACTATATGTAAGTTTGTGTATGCAATCAGATCATTTGAGTCAATATTTTCATTTATTTTTAACAGTGGAGCTTATTGACAAATTG